TTTCCCCACAAATTAATTGAAAAACAATATAACTAAGCACCTCATAGGAGCTGATCTGTACAACTTCTATAGGCTTGTGGGGAAAAAAGAATGCAGCTATGGAACCTCATTCTGAAGGCACATCTAGAATGTCAAAGAAAAAGGCAGAATTTTGCTTAGAAATGTAAAAGCAAATAATCTGGCAGGTCATACTACCTATCCAATCCTTTGCTGAAGCAGCTGGCAAAGTAGGCTAGTTGTGAACCATTCTCATTAATTTAGGAGTCAATTTTATCATTACTTAATTTTACTAAGCTTCAAGAGACACCTTTCATTTGAGGGTAGTCAAACAAACTAATGTAGTCATGCCTATTGCAGAGTGAACTTTTACAGCAAGTACGTGCAAGAAGTACATGGTACCATGTATTTTAATGCTTTCAGAAATAACAAATTAACTCAAGTAGGTATAAGAGCTAGATGAATGTCTAGTTCATAATCACAGGCTCAAAAGTTTAGGCTGTTCTGTTTGCCCATTTCATTATATGACAGATCAGTAAAGCAGCCTGCCTGTTTAAAAAGAAATTGTAAATAGTTCCAAATTATAGTAAGTAAAAAACTTTTAGAAGCTTTCAAAACACTTCGTGATCAAGGTACTTCAGTGACTTAACATCCCTCTAGTTTGAAAGTAGTCATTACATATTTTTACAATAAAACTAAAATGTCCTAAATCAAGACTGTTTTTTGTTTTTATTCTGGAAATCTGTATCTTGCATTTTTCTGTATTATTTATTTAGACTGTGATGAAATGAGAACAGGGTCTGTTAATTATTCTATACTTGAAAAGTCTCTACAATAACAGCTCAGTTTTAGGCAAGTCACTTGGCATTATGCCTAAAAGAATTTTATGATGAAAAAAATGAAAATAGGCTATTTGCTATACCAAGTAGAAATTGCAAATTCCTCTTGTAAATGAAATCACGTATTCTCTCCTCATGCCTAATTATTACTGTGAATTATTACGCTTTTAATCTTAGGAAGGTTAACCACCAGCTTTTTTTGACTGAAGGTTACAGAAATAATTTTTCTAGATGACCAATCACATCAGGAAGTGACAGTGATATAATCAATGATATCATAAGAGAACATACTTTTATTACCTCATGCAAACTCAACTAAGTGATTTTTACAGTCAGTTATGAGCCATTCTTCACCCACATGTGTAACAAAGTCTGAACTGGCATTTAATCTTAATGAAACTGAGGATATTTAGATCACTGAAGTATGTACACAACCCTTGCTGCCCTTATGAGGAATTCTATGTTGTGAAAATTTCTGGCTCCATCTGATATGTATATGATGATTGAAAACTGTTTCTGAATGCTAACATATATCAATAGGACATGACAAATCTAGGTCAAGGATCTGAAATATAAAATGACGTGTCAAAAAAGAAACTGGCTTAGGTATGATGTGACAAAAAGTGGAAGCATGTTATACCTTTTGTCAGTTAAATATTCTGGATTATTCATTATTCATCATATCAACAAACATACAGATTTTAATCCTTCAATATGCAAAAAAAATTATAAAGTAATTTCAAGGCTAATAATGAAAGATGATTTTACATATTTTAAGATGCAAAATACAGAAATTTTGTGATGTGAACTGTGAATTGGTTTACAATGAGAAAGTATTTCAGATACACACTTTGTAACAAAATCTCAAATTGTACTAAGAATTCTAGTTTGAAACAGTACAGACAATAAAAATAACATTTTGCATTCTGTGCAGTTTGATTCATTCTGATTAACATTTAAATCTATGTCAAGGAAATGTTTCTTCACTTACGGAGAGAATTAATTAGATCTGATTAGCGTTCCCTATCTGTGGGTGCAAAAACCATCATTAGAAAAAAAACTTTCATGTGGACACTTACAAATGCTTATCATAAGATATTTGAACACTTACTAGATTTAGTGTTATTGTCTTATTTTCAGTAAGGTTCCTTTGGCATTTTCATGTGTCTTTTCAGGCTTCCTA